CCCCCCCACATACACATAGCACCCCGCAGTACACCCACCACAACAAGGAAGCATGGAGATAAGAAATTACAGGCTCTGGTGCTACACCTGGTGGACAACCTACATAGCTTTTAATGATGACAGACCCTAAATCACATTTGCATGATAGACATTGCAAAACCAGTCACAGAACCTGATTCAACTACATCTGGTTCAGCTAAACTATGTCCATCAAGCTTTAGTTATCACATGATTGGGCCCCTAAATGAGATTTAACCCCATGCACTTGTATCATGTTATTGTTTGTAACACATTATCATGTTGTAAAGTGTAATGTCTATCATGGCCTTCTGGCTACAAGCTTGTGTCTAGGAACACCATTGCCATATCAGTCATGTAAGAAATCAGGTCCTGCATGAAGTCATTGATGTAGAAAATAATTTAATTTTGATCTGTGTTTCTTGCACCTGTGTGTCCAGATTTTAATATTGTTCCACACTGATGGGAAACCAAGACATCTCCCAATGATGCACATTGTTTTCCATGTCTTTGTGGGTAAAGTGATTAAACTGCTAAATCACAGCTGCATTTCTCATAAAAAAGACAAAGCACCTTTATATCTCTACATCATTTCAAAAGTTGCAGAAAGCCCTGGGTGCAAGGGAGTGATTAGATTTATCATGGTTTTATCACTACACCTCCTACACCTCCAGGTGCTGAGCAGAGTGTATTTGCTGTCTCATGGGCTAATAACTTCCTGTGTTACTCATAACTTAAATACTGAGAGAGAGATAAGGGCTTCCATTTGGTTTGTTTCCTTTAAAAATAAATGAGCATTAATAAATGCCTCATTATCAGAAACTGTCATACTGAAAGTACAGAGCTTTCTCCTGTTCCACAGCTAGAGCTTTAATTATCATCATGGTTAATAGAACAACATGAAAACCCTGAAGAATGATATTGGCAACAGAGATGAACATTTAATAAATAGTGGCTCAGATAAAAGTTAGTGGCTATCACAGATGATCAGATAGGTGTAGTAAATTGCTATCTTCTTTACCCAGAACAACTGATATATCAAAATGTCCATTAGTATGGTGAGAATTTGCCAAGCATAGTATGAATGACATTCTGTATTTCAGATTCTCAAGCACCATGTTTCGTTGCTAGAAGCAATCTCCTTCAAGTCACTACCCTTCGTATATACTGTAGATATGGCTTTAGTAGCTGTTTTCTGGACCAGAACATACCTGTTCCATTTTAACATCTTCTCCAACTCCATTTCAGAGATGCAGACTTTAGGAGAAGAGAAGGGTGTGACAAAAATATTTGTCAGTCCTGGAACTAGCTTGAAAATATGCTGTGCTGGCAGATGTCAATGACAGCCATTGGGCTAATTTCTGGTTAAGGCTGGGTATTCTAAAAAGCCTTTCAGTCTAAATGAAGGGAGGGACTTCGGTAGAAGTCACTGCCCAAGTCAATGGGCTGCATAGAAACAAAGCCATTAGAGCTAAAGCGGGAATGTCAGACTTTCAGATTTGTGGGCCACATCTGGCCTGTGGAGCCATGACATGTGGTGCACAGGGCTGTCAGAAAGGCCAGGAATCAGCGTTGCTAGGTCTTAAATATGAAATTATTGTATTGGAAGCTCAAAATTATTGTATTTGCTGAAAAATTATCATACACTGAAAACTATGCAAATAAGTCTTCTTCCTATTTACTTCACATTGTTCTCTGTAAGTTGCCAGTGATTGAAAACTGGGTCATCAAAGTTGAGGTGTTTCTTTATTTCAAGGTAAGCACTCATAAGAAAGTGCCGACAGCAAACTCAAAAGTCAGTTAAGACTCCCTGAGAGTGACTTTGGTTTTGCATATGCTGTATCAATTAGCTACCTCAAAAGTTATTGTACAATTTTGAACACTTGATCATACATCATACAAGGGTTGAAATTATCATACAGAGATGACAATTATCGTACATCTGTCAACACTGGCAGGAATTTGAGAGGCAGGGTTTGCCTCTGAAATCTAAGTCACAGAGTATCTCTGAGTACACGCGTCAGGGGTGGAAGGGTGAGAAGTAGTTCCATTAACCCCCCCCACCACCTCTCACCCTGCTGTTTACCTTGCCACTGCATCTAAACCTGGTCCATGAGGAGTACTATGGTCCAGGTCCAGTCTGGGGGATAGGGTGATAATTAAGGGCTTTTCGGAAAATCACATAGCTAACTGATATCAAATATAGGTAACTGATAATATAGCTATAGATTGAGCATTGGTGCCAGGAATGATCTGATGCATGATACTGAGCAACAAATTAATTTGAGAGAGTCAATATTTGTTCCCTGGCATTCTGCAAATAGAAGGCAAGTCAAATAAATACAGTGTTTCTAATTCTTGCAATATTTGTTTTTTCTTAAAGCACCAGACATTGGAGTCAGTCAAGAGATTGAAAGGAAAGCTCCGTCTTCATTTAAAAAGAAATGTACATTTCTAGCTTTTCTGGTTGTATAGAAAAACTTGAAAGAACAAAACAAGTGAACTGTAAGGCCAGTAGGCAACTTCCTGTCTGACTGAAGCCAGAAGGCAACCTCCTGTCCACCCCTCAATCCCCTCCAAAACCTCCAAATTTTTATTATTATTGAAAAAAATCTCATGATTTTTAAGCCAATCTTATGATACACAACTTCTAATTTTTTGAATGCTTGGATAGCAATGCTTTAAATTATTTGTTACAAATGATCTGTAGGCCCTACAAAAGCAAATAGATTCTACAGGACAACACCCTGTGGGAAAAGGGTATGTATCTTGATGAGTGATTCATTATGCTGCATTAAATCATTGGGCCTGCCTAACATTAAAGTATACCTAATAATCTCTTATCTAAATAACGTTCCCTTGAAATCTTCCATTTAAGCTTTTTTATATTGTTGGGGTGAAGGTATAAACTGATGAGTTGGAAATTTGGCTGGAGGAAGCTGGCAGGTAGCATTGGTCTCTAGATACTAAGGTGTTTGGCATATTAAAAGAGATCAGATAGAGAGAGAATATTCACTAAGCCTTCCTCCCAAGTGTATTATTTGGAGGACTGTTAAAGGAGGCGGATGACTTTTGGAGAGCAAGACTGAAATTATCCCAAAAGAAATTAAATGTTTCTTTGAGAGGACCTAATTGGTCAAAGCTTTTAGAAAATACTAACCAGTGTTCAGGCATTAATAGGAATTTCACTAAATCAGAAATGCTATTTTATGTCCAGCACTAGTATAGAAGAAGCAGAGTGATTTGAAGTTACTGCGAGAGCAGTTCATAATGATATATACACCATACTTGGTTTGTACTTGTTTTCTTATCTTCTCTCTTTTTTCAATTTTTTTTAATATTGCTTCCTCATAGGGTTGATTTCTTCTTGCACATTTTCATGCTGCATGATTTTCAAAAGCAACCAGCATTATTCACTGTCTTGATTTGGGGAGACCTGATCTGAAACACTTTGAATGGGCTTGGTGATCAGACTGTGGTGATCAACATTTCCTGAATATAAGATTCCTTAATACGATTCAAGTTGCTTCATCTAGACCAGTATCCAATCTCTGATAGGGGCTGGTACTAAAAACTTAAGAAGAAGGTAGAAGACTCTCCTAACAGGCATTTAATGAATAATTGGTCTAAAGGGGAGGTTGATTCCTAAACTACATCTGCTAGTGATTGGTGGGTGTGTCTACAAGTTTGCTTTAATGTGCAATAGCCTATTTTACTGTGCATGTCAAAAACCATACTATGTTAGTGTGCAGTAAAAATAGGCTACTGTTATTAAGCATCACTAAAGTAGTGCACATTTTCACTACTGCACAGTAAGGCAGCCTAATGCATATTTATTTAGTACCTCACATTAGAGAGAGTAAATTTAAAGTGCATTAGGAAAAGCACATTAATGAACATGTAGATACGCCTGGTGTGTGCTCCTACATCTTCCAATTTTTTTTGAATGTCGTTCTAGAGTCTCCTCCTTCTTCATGTACACATCTCATCAGTTCTGAAGTTCTTGGCTTCAGTGTTATCTTGTGCAATAAATTCCACGTGATAAATGGATATAGACACACAAATGCTTGGAGCCCTTTCAAAAGGGAAATGTTTCAAAAGGGTAGCAGCTGGTACATTCTACATTCTAATCATTGTGTGTGAATGAGTTAAGAAAAACTGAAATAGCAAAACTGCTTCAAGTTAATGGGTGACTGGTGCCTCCTGAGCCACTGGTGTACCATGGGTCTCTGATGCCTGGGTGCCAATGCCTGCATTGCACTCCCTGCTCATCCATGGCCAATGGCTGGGGGAGTTCCTCTGTGTTCCCTCTCAGCTCTGTGTTCTTGGGGAACCCTGGCACAGTACATAGCCAGTCTGACTCACAAAGGACTCACCCCCTCCCCACCTCTGCCTGAACAAGAACTAATTAGAGGAAGGACTTACAAAACACAATGAAGATGCAGAGGGAGACACATATAAAGCCCTCTAGACAAGGGTGGTAAGAGTGAAGCAACTCCCCTGCTCTCATTTGCATCAGGGATGGAACTGGATGACATCTCATTGAAATGGGAGATAGGCCAGGAATGTACCTTCATTAGCAATCAGGATGGAGAACAAAGATGCCAAAGCAAGGACTGCTCTGAATTCTGGGAACAGAGAAGCAGGTGAGCACTGCATGATGGGGGCTCCCTGCTCCAAATGAGAATCAACCCACATCTACACACACCCAGCTCAGCATTTATCAGACCAATTCTAGTAATGACTCCTTTATTGGTACCCAAAACACTGAATCTGCCTATCTGTATCATGAACTCCCTCATAGTAATGCCACCCACAGCAAGGAGTGATCAGTTCCTTTATCCAGCACATGGGCAATTGTTTACCTGTAAACAAAACTAGTGTTCTCCCTTGAGCCATAGTTAGTTCTCTACAAAACCCCCTACCTAAGCTCAAGTTTCTGTCCTGGTGCTTGGATCCAAAAGCTGCACCAGTTCCATTCCTTTTCTGCCTGGGATCCCTTCATCAATTGTGCTGAGGACTCTACCTGCTTGCAAGCTTCACCAAACACCTGGGAACTTCAACTGGTTCAAGTTTCACTGAGTGGTGAGACCCCAACTCTCTCTCTGTTTCTGACTCCAGGAACCTGACTTTTATTCACTTATTCCAGGCACAGCTTTCTAAGCCTGACTTTTGCTAATCAAATTTGAGCTAGGCTTCCCTAAATACCTAATTGAAACAATGTAATATTGTAACTGTTTTATTTGTCTCTCTTGTATGTCTATTACTACTGTATCATCATAAGTTCATACACCTGGCAATAAATAACTTTTATGGTCAAGCTGGTTGCTATACCCTTTCTCTGAACCTTGCTTACTCTTCCTTCCCCTTGACCTCCCCATTTACTCTGGAGCAATGCTTCTTTTACCTAAGCCAAAGATCCCTGTAATGCCCAAAACTAGTGGGGTTTGCTCATCAATGGATTTACGACCAGGACCATTGTGACAAGAGATTGGGACGTGCCAGGTTTTGAGGTGCATGAGGGTATCAGCTGAAAGTGCTGACTGGACCCAGCCTGCTCAGACGTACTCTGTTAGCATGTGTGTATGTGTATATAACTGCATTTATTATTGTTCTGCTGAAATAAGGGATGAACTAAGTTCAAGGTACATGAGGGTATCAGCCTGTCAATGCTGAATAACCCAGCCTGGCTCAGCTGGGCTCTGTTAACCCATACGTTTGTGTCTGACTGCATTTTATTCTTGCTCTGATGAATTGAGTTCAAGGAATATGAGGGTGTTAGCCTGTCAATGCTAAATAATCTGGCCTGGCTCAGGTGTGTCATGTTAATTTGTGTGTGCATGTGCATATCTGTTTGACTGGTTCAGTGGTTGGAGGAACCCAGCCCCATTGAAACTGAGTCCTGCAAGATAGCTCCACTGGGGGTGAGGACATGCAGAAGGGAGAGATACAGCTCTGTATAGATACACAAATAATACAAGCAGCACATTGACAGAATTACAGAGACCCCAGAAATGTATCCCTAAGAAATGAGCACACCTCAAAGTGATGGGCAAATTTGGTAACAACTGATAGCTAGGTGCTTAGCCCAGAAGTGCTGGCAGCAAAACCAGAAGTGCCAGCGGTGAAACCAGAAGTGCCGATTGGGGACCGAGTACCCCCTAGAGGGACTGGTAAGTGCCCCTCCCCTGGCCAACATCTGGGGGCATGCCCCCCCACCTCTCCCTGTTGGTACACCACTGGCACCCACAGAAGCTGGCAGCGGTGGCGGCAGTGGGGATGGGGCTGGCGAGCATCCACAGAAGCCTCCAGAGGTGTTGGTGGTGGAGACAGGGCTGGAAAGCACCTGCAGAAGCTAGCATTGGGGATGGCTCTGTCAGGCATGTGCCTCCCCCCTACCAGACGCCTATGTCCAAGTTTAACACTCCTTCCTCCAGGGTTAAAGTTTGAGTAGTGTATTTCCTTTACCCAGTTTTAAGTTTGGTGTTTTTCAATCTGGGGAAATGTATCTTTGTTCTTGTAATCTAGAAAAGGGCAAAGAAAAGTGCTTAATTTTTCCTTCCTGTGCCAGTCATTATTTTCTAGATGCTCTTTGTGTACTTTTTTACTTGACTCTTCTCTAGAGTAAACAGTGCAGGTCTTTGCATGCAGAAGTCTCTTCAGGAGTTCCTGGAGTTTCCCTTGCGACTATCAGCCCCACAAGCTATATATGTTGAGGCTACTGCCATGAAGAGCTATCATTTTGGATATAAACACATCATGTTTGGAGCAGGATCAGTTGTTCCAGGATGTGTCCCAGCACAGCTGATCCACTTCAATAGTATCTATAGAAATCACTGAAATAATGGCCATTACAAGCTACACCCAACAAAAAGTATATTAAAAAGAGTTACAGGAATGTCTTCTTACACCCAGTCCAAGTTCAGCCAAAGTTTTGGAAGTGTGAACCCTTTTCAAAGTGTTTCTTTACTACTGACACAGCTTCTCAATTAGGTTGATGTGTGCTGCACCTACCAGTAAATAATGTAACTACAGTCTCTCAGATGTGGTTATTTTGGTTTTTTTTCCCCTTTCTTTCTGAAGGGGGAAATTTATGACTAGACTTTATTCATGTATTATTTTTGATGAGTGATATGCATAGTATTTTTAACAGAGAAAGCACATCAAAGTATGGGCTTTCCATTTGGCACAGAAGGGGAAGAGATTAGGTATCTCTTGTACAGAGGCTGCCCTACATTAGCTCTTCACAGCTGTTTTACCCCATGAACTGGCATAGGAGCTTGGACATGATTCATTTCCATCCAGGGTCAATTCAGCTCTCTGTAAAACAACTTGGTTCTTCCAGGCTTCCACAGAAACACCTGTGGATGCTGACCTTCAGATAGGCATCCAAATGACCTAGAATCCTGCAGGCCAGGGACTCCCAGAGTCAAGTGATCTGCCATCCTCAGAAGATTAGAACTGGATTTGATGCTGTTCAAAAGAGGAAGAAGATGGGAAGGGCTGGAATTGGCAGGGATTATAAAGAATCCCAGTGTCTCTGCTACAGTCCACTCTGGAGATGGTGAGAGGAAAAACCACTGTCAGAGAGTGGCTGCGGAGGCAGCATCGGGTGGAGAGGTTCAGCTCTCTGAGATTTGGGGGGAGCAAGATAAAAAGAGGATGAAGATAGTTTTGATTGTTTTAGAGGTGGAGTGAGTATTCCAGAGACAACAAGGGAAGAGCAGGAGAGACTGGGCATGAGACTATAAGAGGGGTGGAGATGGGTGTTGTAGTGCCTGTGGCAGATGGAGGTTTGGGGCAGAGGGAAGGCCAGGGTTGAAGTGAACGTCACCAGAGATGGGTGGCAATGTGGAGAGTGGATTTATGCTGACAGGAGGAGGAGGTGATCAGTGTGTAGTTTGGAAGAGGAGATTCAGATGGAGGAAGGAGGAAGACAGATGCTATGTTGTTCAACAGGGTTACAGTGAGAGCCATGAGGAAGTGGCAAAATCGGCCTAAAATAAGCCTGGTTTGCAGTTTGGCCCTGGGAGCGGCGTGAGACACATGGCTGTAAGCCCATCATGCCCCTGTACCCTGAGCCCCCCCAGGAACCCCCAGTGACCGTAGAGCACCCTGCTGACCCCCAGCACTGCTGGAGGTAAGCAGGGCCCGTGGTGGGAGGGACATAGCCCAACTGCAGGGTGGCTGAGTAGAACCAAGGTGGGCCTCACCCCGCCCCAGCTCCTACTTTGCCCAGCCCCCCAGGGAGCCGTGTGACTGGAACCTCATGAACAGGCAGTGCAAACAGGTGTGCTCCTGGGCCAGGCACATGAGTTAGCATGGGAGTTTGCACAGGAGGGCCCAAGGCATGCCTGTCAGGCCCCTAGGGTAGCCAGACCCAGCCACAGCCGGCCTAATAGCGGCATGCCACAGATGGGAAAGCACTGCAACCTGAGGGTCCCCTCAGGGTCTGTGGCCTTCCCCTCTGGCTCCTCAGAGTTGTCCACCCAGACGGAGCCCATGGTTCCGGGCTGTATGCAGACAGTGCCCCTGGCTCTTGGCTGCAGGGACTGTCTGTCACTTTTTCAGGCTCGGGAAGCATGACCACCTCCCCTTGTGAGGTCTGCTCCCTTTTGACTTCTCTGGCACACCAGCTGGAGGAGCTCCAGCCACAGTCCAGAGACTGCGTGCCATCAGGGACTGTGAGCAGGAGATCGACTCCTACTGCCAGGCCCTTCACCCCCAGGAGGTGGAGGGTAGACCACGGTTGCTTTCCAGGACTGGGGAGGACTTGAGGACCTCCCATGCTGTCCAGCCCAGGGGTTGGACCAAAGTGATAAAGGGCCCCAAGGTCCCCCCACCGCTGGAGCTTTGCAACAGGTATCAACCTCTTGCAGCCCCAGCAGAGCCTGCTAATTTGCCAGCTCCTGCAGGCAACACAGGCTGTACTGTAACTACCGCCCCTGTTCTCCTTAGGACAAAACGCAAAATGTTTGTTGTGGGAGACTCCATCCTGAGGGGGACTGAGGGGGCAGTCTGCCACCACGACCCCTTAGCCCAGGAAGTCTGCTGCTTCCTGGGAGCCCAAATCTGAGACATTGCAGAGAAGATCCCCGAGCTCCTCCAGCCCACTGACCACTACCCTATGCTTCTTATCCATGTGTGCATCAGTGACAGCTCAGAGTGCTCCCAGCTGGGTTATGAAGTGCTACAGGGATTTTGGAGTGGGGCTCAAGGGGTTGGGGGCACAGGTGGTTTTCTCATCGATTCTCCCAGTCTCAGGCTATGGGCTGAGGAGGAGGATTGAGGCAGTGAACTAAAGACTGCGGCGCTGGTGTCATCAAGAAGGCTTCGGCTTCCATGACCAGTCTGCTCTTTGGTGAGAGAGGCAGTGAGCTGCTGGGAAGGAAAAGCCTCCATCTCTCTCTGCTGGGGAGGAGGCTCTTCTCAGTCAGACTGGCTGACCTGCTCCACTGGGCTTTAAACTAAGCCTGCTGGGGATGGGGTGGGGGGACTACCGCCACTGCTGGCCCACCGAGCAACCCTTGCAAAGCCAGCAGGCTGAGGCACTTAAGGGAGCCCACCCCTGCCCCAGCCCTGGAACAAACTGTAGGCAAGGCAAAGGCCCCCAAAGGGACCCTTGCATGCCTATACACAAATGCCAAGAGCTTGGGGGATAAACAGGAGGAACTTGTCCTCCTGCTTAATACAAATAATTATGATGTCATTGGGATAACAGAGACTTGGTGGGATTCCACCCATGACTGGGCCAGGGGTATAGATGGCTATACCCTGTACAGGAGAGATTGAGTGGACAAAAGGGGAGGGGGTGTACCTCTCTATGTGAAAGAAAGCTACGCATCCCTGCAAACCGACATCGGCGCCCAGGGTGGATGGCTGGAGACCCTCTGGGTTAAAATCTGTGGGGAACACAGGACAGGGGACACAACAGTGGGAGTCTATTACAGACCCCCTACCCAGGATCAAGAGCTTGACCAGGAGTTCATCAGGGAATTGGCTGAGGCCGCATGCTCCCAGTCCATGGTTGTCATGGAAGACTTCAACTACCCAGTCATCTCGTGGGAAGGGTGCTCAGCCAAATCTGAGCAGTCACAAAGCTTTGTCTCGTGCGTGGATGAGCTTTATCTGATACAGGAAGTCTATGGGCCAATGAGAGGTAAAGTGCTGCTTGACCTAGTACTGGCAACCGAGGATGACCTAATCACTGACCTAATGATCAAAGGGAAGCTGGGTGATAGTGACCATGAGCTGATCACCTTCACCATTCACCGCAAAGCTGGCAAGTCAGTCAGCAATACAGAAGACTTTGACTTCAGG